CTTTTTGTTCTCTTATTTCTGTATATGTGTCTTTAGTTTTCCTGGTATAGCACTCCTTTCAGAACTCTTTGAAGCGCTGGTCTGGTGTTCGTAAATTCTCTCAGGTTTTGTTTATCTGAGAATGTTTTTATCTTTTCTTCCCATATGAAGGATAATATTGCAGAGTATAGTGTTCTTGGTTGAAACTGTTTTTCACTTAACATTTTGAATATATTTTCCCATTCTTCCCTTGCTCGCATTGTTTGTGATGAGAGGTCTGATGTTAGCCTGATAGGATAGCCTTTATAAATAACCTGACATTTCTCTCTTGCCAATTTTAGTATTTTATCTTTGTTTATTTTGCCAATCTGGCTATGATGTGCCTTGGAGAAAATACTGGGTTGATTCTATTCGGGGTCCTTTGTATTTCTTGGGTCTGGATATTTGAATGCCTCTCTGGATTTGGAAAATTTTCTTTCAGGATTTCATGAAATAGATTTTCAGTGCCCTTATTAGTTTCTTCACCTTCTGGGATACTGATTATCCGAATGTTTGGGCGCTTAATCGTATCTAGTATTTCTTGTATGTTATTATCATTTTTGGGGTTATTTTCTTATATTTTTGGTTGTTTTTTTTCCTAGGTCTGAGGTTTTGCCTTCAACATCTGAGATTCAAATTTCTTCATGGACTAACCTGCTTTTAATACTTTCGAGGAACATTTTGATTTCCTGTATTGCAGCCTTCATATCTGACAGTTCCATTCTATTCTTTTTTTATGACGTGTAGTTCCTCTTTTAGATCATGCAAGAACTTTCTCACCTGGAGCTCACCTCTTTCCTCCTGCATCCTCTGGAGTTCATTGTCTCTCAGCTCTTGCATCTTGTTTAGTTTTATCACTCTGAATATTCTGAGTTCTCTATCAGACATTCCCACGAGTTCCACTGAACTGTCCGTGGATGATAAAGGATTGTTCTTTTCCATTAAGGGAGAGATATTTTCTTGGATTCTTACATTTCTTGTGCTTCTGTGGTGGTTTCTGGTAATTCTGTGACAAAAATCTTTCCTCTACTATGTTTTGTAATGTGGTATCAACAGAAAGAGATTATAAGTTCAGATCTATAAAAAGAAGTTTCTTCCTTAAAGCCTTGAGTATTTCAAGGACCCTAAGTATTCAGGTGCTTGACAGTTATCACCTAGGGCTGTTTAGACACTCAGTGTGTGAGACTTGTCTGAGTATTTCAGAGGTCTAGAAGATGGAGTTTAGAGCATAGCTTCCCTGAACATGCCAGGACTCACCTCAGATTTAAAATGGCTTCCTGTCTGAGTATTTTGGGGGGTCTCTGGATGTGTAATTTCTTAAAAATATTCATGCCCTTGTATCCCTTGGAAATATTTATGGACCCTCAGGATATGTGACCCTAATTCAGAGACTGTTAACTTAGAGAATATATTTCAATAGCCCATGGAAACTCCATAATTAATAAAAGACAGATCTTGGCTGCCAGAACAGGTAGGAGATCCACTGGAGGACTATAGACCCACTAGGTGATGGAAAACTAACTATGCAGGGACCAGCAGTTAGTGTAATGGCTGTGTTGCTGAACTCCCATGCAGTTGACCGCAGTTCAAGTCCTGAACCCAGTGGCTTAAACTTCACACCGGGCATGTGTGCGTGTGTGCCCAAGATCCTGAGAGGAGAATGGAGAAGAAGGAATTGCGGCATGGCCATCCCCGCTGGGGGGTGATTTCTCTCTTTCTGTCTCTCTGTCTCTGTCTTTCTGGCAAGCGCATGTGTCCTATAACAAAAACCTCTCAAACAAACAAACAAACAAACAAAAACAAACAAAAAAAAACTACACAGAAGAGGTTTGGACTTAAGAATAACTGAAGAGAGCAAAGTGCTCTTGCCAGCTAATGTAGATGAGGGTGTGAAATAAACTTTTCCTGTGTTAAGCCACCAAGATTTTGGGATTGTTTGCTGTAATATTTAACCTTTCCCAGTGAATAGAGTGGTTGGTGGTGCTGGATAGGGTCTTACCACTGTAAGAGTCAGGTGGTCTCCTGGCCAAGAGCTTGAAGGAAATTGAATAGCCAGTTTTCAGAAGATAAGGCAGTGTTGGGGAGAGCCAGAAAAAGACCAAGTCAAAGGGATCAACTTACAAGTTGCAGCACCTACAGAGCACAGCAGTTGCTAGCAGAATTCCCAGTTGCCAGGAGGCGACTCTCAGTGGGCACCAGAGAACACACATCCTGGCCTTCCCTTCCCAAACCACAAGGACACAGCAAGTGTCCAGCTGCCATTTTGAGGAAGGAAGGGAAAGTCCAAAAGATTGAATATTTATCTAAAGAGATAACTTAATCAATCTTGAATGGGGAGTGGAACTTTTATTAGAAGAAATATTTAACCGGAAATAGAATGTTGGAATTGAAAGAGCTCAAGATATCACTGGAAAATTCAAAATTTTCCGTTTTCCAGAGTCTATAAAGATGTTCAGGTTAACTACAGAAAGTAACTGACTTTTTTTTTTTTTTTGTATGTGTGTGGGTAGGGGGAGCAAATTAATTATTTATGAGTGATTTTATGGCCCTGTTACGTTTTCTTTTTTATAATATAGCTATAAAATCTAGTTTAGATTTAAAATAACAGTGGGGTTGGTTCTGTAGTGCAGTGGGTTAAGCACTATGTGTGGGGAGCTGGATCCTGTGGCTGACCATGGGTGGAATCCTGGTCCCCTGGCAACTTGAAAAACACTCTGGGTGCATGCATGCCCAAAGTCCTGATAAGATGAAGAATGTGGAGGAAAAGGGATTGCAGAGTGACCATGCCTCATTGCAGGTGCTTTCTCTCTTGCCCTCTCTCTCGTGAGTGCATGTACCTTCTGACAATAATGAAAGAAATAAAGAACAAAGAAAAAAAGAAAGAAATAGAGGAAGAAAGGAAACAAAGATATGAGGAGAAGCTTAAAATGTGTACCTAAATAAATAAAGGAGAACATGTCATTACTTTCTATTTCTGAAATTTTAGTAATGGTGAAGAGTGTAGGATCTGTTTGTATGGATAGAATCTCTAGAAATGTGGTTCAATACTGAATATCAAATACAAAGCATAGACAACCAATACGATCTTTCTTCAACAGCACTTTCCTAATGACGTACTTTGTCATATATGTGACTTTATACTTCAACTGAGAAGCTCACTGATTAGCAGTTTTCACCAAGTCCACCAAAAAGAACAGAACTGCAATTTCACTTAACATATTGTTAAATTGGGCCTTCATATCATCTGGTTAGTTAGAGCCAATTATTCTTCTGAGTCATAAATATACAACTACCACATAATCTATTTTAAACAATGAAGTCCCAAGACATTAAAAAAATCATGGGCGTAGACTGTCCCAGTGTGTAAGCTACACAGTGATAGCTACATCTTTCTAGCATGAACTGTGGAAGGCTACCAAGACTCCCTTCTTCTGGCATGCTCTTCAAACTGTATTTCTTTTCTCTTTTTTTAAAAAAATGTTATTACTTTAGATTATAATTTCTGACTTATAGATAATCATTGCACATGCATATTTGGACAAGCTGCATTTCTAGTGAAGATAGTTTGCATCTTAGAAATACATTCTGGAGTTCCGCCTTGTGACTGATGGCTGCTGTGTTGAGGCAGTTGGTTGTAATAATTAAAATGCACACTCTCAGGAAGGCCCTGAGATTCTTCCATTTCTCTCTATCACAGGACCTTCCTTAATTTTCATAATCAGTTTGCTATTTTCTATGTATGCATGTCTTCACGGGGTTACTGTCAGTTTTCCCTCATAGAAACAGTGGCTTAGAACTGACTTGCTCACCCTAGTTTTTAGAACAGCACTTGGTTCTTAATAGAAACTCGATAAATATTTACATAATGAGCAAACTTTTAAATATTGATTATGAAGCCATGTTCCTTTATAATAAGAAAAGATCAAATCAGTATTTACAGACACAATCATATTTTTAGTCACTACTTATCAATGGTGCTAAGCTGATATAAAAGAAGATGGTTCCCAGAGCATAATTTGTTAAATAGGACATCTAACATAAACTCAATTATTTAATAAAGGTATCTAGATTCCCATTGGAGGATAATTTATTTACTACTTCTCAATGCATCCTGTAGTTTGGCTCTAATGAGACTACAATTCAAATCTTCATTTTTTTCCCTTTAAATTCAAGTTATATTTTATATCTTCTGGATGTTAAGAATATTCTATATTACTTTATATCATTAGTTTTTAATAAAGTCCGTGAGTTTTAGTAGTATTAAAATATCAGTATATTCTTTTAAGGTTATCTAGAAGACATTTAAAAATATCAAGGATTCATGCTTGAGTAATTGAAGGGTTTAGGCCACATTTTAACTCTGTAGTTACTTATAAAAATGTTACGACATGGGGTTGTGGTTGTTAAGGTGCTGGACTTCCACATGGCAGACAGTGGTTTGAGTTCTGGACCTGGTGGCTCAAAAATCACCCTGGGCATGAGTGCGTGTGTGCCCAAAATCCCAGGAGGAGAATGAAGGAGAAGGGATTGCTGCATAGACATCCCTCTGGAAATTGATTTCTCTTTCCTTCTCTCTGCCTCTTTGATGAGTGCACATGACCTATGGCAAATACCTTTAAAAAAATGTTATGCTAACCAAGGTCTTTACTATCTAAAGAAAAGTATTTTCCCTTTTTCTTTTGCTTAAGAAGTCAGATCTAATAAAAGAAAGGTTACCCCAAATAATAATTTAAAGCTCAGGACCTGTGATCGTTAAGCTTAGAAATTAGTATGTTCAAACCCTGTCATTAAAAATGATTGAATTTAAAACACACAAGAAATCCCTCAAAAGTCTTTCCCTTTTCCCCTCATATATAAGATTAATATTTTTACCCTTACCTTTCCCCTTTCTTAATGGAATGAAGGTGATTAAATACCTGAATAGATTCCAGATTAGCTTTTAAATTTACCCCCGAATTTTAGTAGGAATATATTAATTAAAAACTATTATTCACATTGGTTTGAGAGTTTCCAATAGGGAGTTTCTTTTAATAATTCTTTTAATAGTTCTTGTCATTCTTAATAATAATCATTGCATTGTTTCCCCTTTTAAAGAATGGATCACAGATGAGAGAGATGAATACATGAAAACCCACTGAATTTGGTTACCCTTCTCAACCAGTCATCACCTGGAGAATAACGAAGATTGCGTCACAGTTCACATTATGATGGCTTCTGGTCCATGAAGGGAAATACTACGTAGTCTTCTTTGCCTATCTGTATGGCCGCAGCTGGCACGCCATGACTTCATTACAGCTGGTCATTCTTCTCAAGGTCAGAAATGAGAATATTTTCTTCCAAGTGTGCTGTACTAAAGTTGGTTGTAGGATAGTAAGGATTCCCAAGCCCTGCAAGTCTCCTGAAGAAGCCACTATTCTGCTTGTATATGCAGAAGGACAATGTGAAAACAGCCAGCATCACTATCAGGGTCAGTGCTACTGCAAGAGGAACCATGCTGTGACTTGGTTCTGAAAAGGGATGAAGAAAAGGAAAATGTCATGGACAAGGAGACAAGGTAGATACCCACACATAGTTACTGTCCACTTTATTAATTCTAAGAAAACTCAAAATGTTCTCCATTTCTCTAAACCTACCTTCCCCTGGATGCTCCTCTGTAGCGTGAATATCTGAAATCAAATACAAAAAATTTGAGTGAAACTGTTTTTTTTAGTTCAGCAAAATCATGTCACTACTTTCAGTAGGGATCAGGCAACTCTGGTCCATAGAGAAACGTGGCCACATGTTTTTGTCGGTAATGTTTTATTGGCGCTCAGACACATCCAGTCTATGGTGCTTTTGCGCTATAGTGATCATGGCAGAGACCTCATGGCCCTCAATAGTTACTCTCTGTCCCCAGCAAGGTAAGTTGCTGACTTCTGTTTACATTGATCATCATTGTTGGTGCTCACGAACATACTTTTTTAAAGTCAATGAGTTCTCACAAAGTTTTACCATTGCACTGAAGTAAAATATGAGTAAAATATAGTCCCTGTATGCAAGGAAAGCATAGTTTTGCTGGAATCTGATCTGAAGTTTGTCTGGCAATGTTAACCCGCTTGCCTCTATACACGGACTTTAAAATCAGCATTCTTAACTTTTGTGATCGCTAGAGTCTTGGGAAATGAAAAATAGCTCATCCATTCAGAAAGTTACAGGGTTGGGACCAGCAGTTAGCATAATGGCTATGTCGCTGGACTCCCACATAGTCGACCGCGGTTCGCATCCTGGACCCAGTGGCTTAAAACTCACGCTGGGCATGTGTGCGTGCGTGCCCAAGATCCCAAGAGGAGAATGGAGGAGAAGGGATTGCGGCGTGACCATCCCTCCTGGGGGGTGATTTCTCGCTTTCTATCTCTCTGTCTCTCTCTGTCTCTCTGGTGAGCGCACGCGCCCTATGGCAAAAACCTCTCCAAAAAGAAAAAAAAAAAAAAAAAGAAAGAAAGTTACAGGGTTTCTGTTTTAGGACTTTCTACTGCAAAAATAGACCTCTTTCAAGTAGGATCTGTCTCAGAATTTAAACTCTGCAAGTTTTGAACTAGGTAAAGACCCAGAGACAGATGTAGAGAATGATCCAGAGAAAGATGAGTGAGTGTTTGTGAGTGGGGGAAGTGCCTTGGTGCCCTGCCCTCCTTGTGCTCATCCACTCAGATTTACAATAAACATCCGTGTTGTTATCAATAGCAAAATCACGTTAAAAAACCCCTTAGTTTCATACTTTAAAAATAACATCACATAATTTTACATTAAGTTACTGAAAACGTGTATTATTGTATTGTGTGTGTGTGAGTGTGTGTGTATACACTCTAAGAAAGGTTGTTCAAAGAGTGTATTCTCAGGATAGAGGCAGCAGGAGTTACAGAAGGAACACTTGGAAAGTTTGGAGGGTAGTCTTCACTGTCGTCTTGGCTGGCACACGCACTGTAAAACTGGGATGCTTGAATTGGTTCACTGTCTGGGAAAGTTGCCACGAAAGATAAGACCCCATGTGTTACTATGGCAAACTTTAAAGTCTTCTACAGTTGTGAGGTATTTCTGATTTGCTCTTGATACTTAAATGCCACTGATAACTTGGCCACACTGCTTCGTAGGCTTAGTCATGTTTCTCACACAGAGTTGATATTCACACTGTTGGGGTTTCAGACACTGGTGTTCACACCTGTAGTTTTTTCCCCCCTTCATTCCTAGTGTCTTATCAGTTAACCAGGCCTGATGATTCTTTCTTCCTATTTCTCCCCTCCTTTTTTGTTCCTAGTTTTATCGCCCAAATTGGTTTTTTTAAGATTTATTTATTTATCCATTCGTTCATTCCCTCATTTTAATTTGACCAGAGAGAGACACAGAGAGAGAGGAAAGTGAGAAAGGAAGCCACCAGGTCCAGGACTTGAACCATGGTCGGCCATGTGGGAGTGTCCAGCACCTTAACCACCACGCCACCTGCTGGTCCCTATCACCCAAATTATAAACACTTATCTTTAAAGCCGACAAGTGCAACTCCACTGCAGGTGTCTACGGACCACACAAGACCCACATCTTCTACACCATGATGACAGCTCTTCAGGCTGGCACTCTGTGAGTAGGTCCTGTGGAACTGTCTGGTGTCATTCTTAGCACTCTCTAACACAAGCTCTGCTGTACCTCAATCTAAGCTCATGCTCAGCTGCTGCCTTATGCTGGCCCTTTGTCAAAAAATGTCCTCTTCTTTTTTGCTCCTCAAACCTTTTATCTGGCAGTGCCAGGAGAGAAACGAATGGCTTAATTCACACATTTACAAAGGCGGAGCCTCAGTTCCGTCATCACCTCTACATCGTAAGGGACCAGAAGAAGGGAAAACTAATCCCAAACCCCTAGAAGGAAGGAAGCAATGGAGATTAAGTGGAAATGAATAAAATAGACAACAGAAAAGAGAGAAAATCAACAGAACCCCAAATTGGCAACCCTTTGGTAGATTAAAAGACAAGACTCGAATTACTAAAATTAGAAAGTAGACACAGTAATACCAACTTTACAGAAAGAAAGAGGATTATAAGGGAATGCTATGAACATTTGTATGCCAACAAATTAAATAACCTAGATAGAATGAACAAATTTCTAGGACACACAGGTACCAAAACTGAATCATGATACAACAGAAATTTTTTATTTTACTTATTATTATTATTGTTATTTTTAAATTTCGCTAGAGGGCACACACACTAGAGAGAGAGAGACAGACAGAGGGAGACGGAGTGAGAAAGTCCTCTCCAAGGGACCAGCAGTTAGCGTAATGGCTATGTTGCTTGGATCCCATGTAGTATACCGTGGTTCGCGTCCTGGACCCAGTGGCTTACACTCACACCGGGCGCATGTGTATGCATGCCCAAGAACCTGAGAAGAGAATGGAGGAGAAGGGATTGAGGCGTGGCCATCCCCCCTTGGGGGTGATTTCTTGCTTTCTGTCTGTCTGTCTCTCTCTTTCTGGCAAGCGACGCTCCCTATAGCGAAAAACTTTCCAAAAAAAGAAAAAAAAAAAAAAAAGAAAGAAAGTTACAGGGTTTCTGTTTTAGGACTTTCTACTGCAAAAATAGACCTCTTTCAAGTAGGATCTGTCTCAGAATTTAAACTCTGCAAGTTTTGAACTAGGTAAAGACCCAGAGACAGATGTAGAGAATGATCCAGAGAAAGATGAGTGAGTGTTTGTGAGTGGGGGAAGTGCCTTGGTGCCCTGCCCTCCTTGTGCTCATCCACTCAGATTTACAATAAACATCCGTGTTGTTATCAATAGCAAAATCACGTTAAAAAACCCCTTAGTTTCATACTTTAAAAATAACATCACATAATTTTACATTAAGTTACTGAAAACGTGTATTATTGTATTGTGTGTGTGTGAGTGTGTGTGTATACACTCTAAGAAAGGTTGTTCAAAGAGTGTATTCTCAGGATAGAGGCAGCAGGAGTTACAGAAGGAACACTTGGAAAGTTTGGAGGGTAGTCTTCACTGTCGTCTTGGCTGGCACACGCACTGTAAAACTGGGATGCTTGAATTGGTTCACTGTCTGGGAAAGTTGCCACGAAAGATAAGACCCCATGTGTTACTATGGCAAACTTTAAAGTCTTCTACAGTTGTGAGGTATTTCTGATTTGCTCTTGATACTTAAATGCCACTGATAACTTGGCCACACTGCTTCGTAGGCTTAGTCATGTTTCTCACACAGAGTTGATATTCACACTGTTGGGGTTTCAGACACTGGTGTTCACACCTGTAGTTTTTTCCCCCCTTCATTCCTAGTGTCTTATCAGTTAACCAGGCCTGATGATTCTTTCTTCCTATTTCTCCCCTCCTTTTTTGTTCCTAGTTTTATCGCCCAAATTGGTTTTTTTAAGATTTATTTATTTATCCATTCGTTCATTCCCTCATTTTAATTTGACCAGAGAGAGACACAGAGAGAGAGGAAAGTGAGAAAGGAAGCCACCAGGTCCAGGACTTGAACCATGGTCGGCCATGTGGGAGTGTCCAGCACCTTAACCACCACGCCACCTGCTGGTCCCTATCACCCAAATTATAAACACTTATCTTTAAAGCCGACAAGTGCAACTCCACTGCAGGTGTCTACGGACCACACAAGACCCACATCTTCTACACCATGATGACAGCTCTTCAGGCTGGCACTCTGTGAGTAGGTCCTGTGGAACTGTCTGGTGTCATTCTTAGCACTCTCTAGCACAAGCTCTGCTGTACCTCAATCTAAGCTCATGCTCAGCTGCTGCCTTATGCTGGCCCTTTGTCAAAAAAATGTCCTCTTCTTTTTTGCTCCTCAAACCTTTTATCTTTTTTTTTTTTTTTAGAGGTTTTTGCTATAGGGCACGTGCACTCGCCAGACAGACAGAGACAGAGAGACAGAAAGCAAGAAATCACCCCCCAGGGGGGATGGCCATGCCACAATCCCTTCTCCTCTATTCTCCTCTTGGGATCTTGGGCACGCATGCACACGTGCCCAGCGTGAGTTTAAGCCACCGGTCCGGGATGCAAACCGTGGTCGACTATGAGGGAGTCCAGCGACATAGCCATTACGCTAAGTGCTGCTCCCAAACGCTTTATCTTTTGAGATCACAAAGCTTTCTTTCCTTGAAGCCTTTTCCAGCAGTCTGGTCCTTATCACTCCCTCCTTCACAGTCCTAGCATCTGGGAATTGTTGTGGTTATCATAAACTCCTTCCCACCATCGACGAGCCTCCTAACAGCTCCTCTTAGAAATCTCTGTGATTATTTGCAACTTACTAGACTTTCCTGGCTTAGATTTTTTAAAATTATTTTAAAAATCATTATAAACCATGTATGTCATTCAGAATCGAGTTAAAATATGACTTTGTGGCATTTTATGCTTGCAATAGAGAATTACTTCTACTGTCCACGACAAATATACCTGGGCTTAGACAATATTTCCTGAGGCCAGGGAAAACCTTTACCATTCTGAGTAGCAGTTGTCAGAGTGAAGATTGCGTGTTTACATTTCTAGTTCTATTTGCTTGAGACAAACTGCTTTTTTGTCCATTAAATTAACAGTTAGGATGACACAGTCACAAAGTCATAGAGTCTTCGAGTTCATTTATAATTATTCTTTAGACCCACCTGCTGTGACATACATTGCTAAGATGCTGTGATTACAGGCTAGAACCACACAGGAAACTCAGGTTTGATTCCTGGCCCAACCTAGAAGCTGAGTGTAGGGCATGTTCCTGCAATCCCAGCAAGTTGGGAGTCTGAGACAGGAAGACTATGGGCACAAAGCTGGCCTGGGCAACATAGCCAGATCTCCTCTTAAAAAGAGCTGGGCATGGTGTTCAGTGCCTATAGTCCCAGTTGGGAGTCTGAGGCAGGAAAGCTGTGACAGTGAGACCCTGTCTTTAAAAAAATTATTTTTTTCTTTGCCTCAGAGAAGAAGGAGCTGAAAGGTTCTTTCAGTTGTTTGATGTAGAATAAGATGATAATGTCAGATTCTATCTGGATACTCTCTGAATACTTGGATTTTGAAACATTTAAATGTCAAAGAGCTGGGTCAACTTTAGTCAAGGTAGAATCAAAATGAAAATTACTGTCTGCTACTCACCTGCCTCCTTTTTACATATAAATCCCCTTTTTACTGTACACGAGGATAACTGCCACACTCCTTCAGGAATCCTCAGGCCAACACACTGATGGAGCTTGAAGTGGTCTATGTCCGGCTTCCGAATGCCCCAGTTTGACTGGTCTGTGGGAGTCCCCTCAAACCAATTTAAGGTTTCATCTGTGGGAAAATTGCTGGCTTATTACAGATTATGTACATAGTTGTCAAACATACTAAGACTGGAATGAACCACAGAAAATAAATCTTATAGGACTCTCTCTTTATCTACTGCATTCAGGACTCAGTAAGTACAGTCATGAAATCACATTGTAAAATAAGTACTAAGGATTGGCCTTTTGGCCAAATGGTTAAGGGAGCCAGATTCCATGTGGCTGACTATGTGTTGAATCCTATGGCTTGAAAAACTTGCTGGGTACATGTGTATCCCCCAAATTCTGACAGGATGGAGAACTGGAGAAGCAGGGATGGTGACATAACTATGCCCCTCTCAGAGGTGTTTTCTCTCTCTTTGTCTCTGTTTCTCTCTGTTGAGCACACATATCCTTTGGCTATGAAAAATAAAAATATTAATATGTATTAATAAAATGGTGTATGAACAGCCTTTCATTTATTTTAGATATATTATTCTAATTTAGTTCTTTTACGATATTATGTTTTTTAATATAATGGTTTGAATTTTGATATTCCATATCATTTATAATCAATTTAAGGAAATCATCGAATGAACTAATCAATGTAACTATAAATCCCTTTTAGTCCTATCATCTGTATCATTAGAAAATGGCTCACTTTCAAAGAGAATTTTAAAAAGTGAGTCTCTCAGAATAGTAAGCTAGACTTATTCCAAAGGGGTAGAAATAACGAGAGTGCTCTCCCTGTGGAGGCAGTAAGTGGGGTGCATTGTCTGAAAGGAATTTAAAATTAACAATAAAACTAACTAAAAGTCAGTCTGCTTTTTGTTACCACCATCTGCTAGAAATTCTAAACAAAGTCAATGATTAAAATACTCCTCACAAGGGTAGTTTCATCCCCCACCCCCCACCCTGGTATACCACTATAATAAGCTCTACCTACCAATTAAAATGATTTTCTTTACAAGTACCTTTCTTTTTTTTTTTTTAAAGAATTACTTTATTTAATGTTTATTTTAATTTGGCCAGAGAGGGACAGAAAGAGAGAGAGAGAAAGCAAGCCACCAGGTCCAGGACTCGAACCGCGGTCAGCCATGTGGGAATACAGCGCCCTTAACTACCATGCCACCTGCCGGCCCCTACAAGTACCTTTCAATAACCATCAATTACATAAAGAAAAGAAGGCCATGCTTCCATTTTATTATAGACTCTGGTTTCTATGAGTGGCAAATAAGAATCCTAATGGCATGATTTTTCACTGAAACGATTCCATTACTCTGTTGTGCTTCTATAACATTTAGGAACCTGGGGTATTTTCAGGTAAGTATGGTGTTGGTATGCTGCCACCAGGTCTGTGGGCACAAGTCAAGTCAGGCAACTTCCCAACAAGTATAAAGGTAAACTTGTGTTTTGTTTTTCTTTTTGGTATTTAAAAGGGTTGTTTGGGGACTATATGTCCATTCTTTTTTCACAACAAATGTATCCAAGGGGAGTTTCCTGGCTTATCAGTGCCATTTTCATCAGCCTTAATGGCCATGTATTTATTTACGCCCTCTCCTCTTCTCTACCCAAATCACTTACTGTTACTATCAAATCGAGCATTCAACCAAATCATTCGGGTAAAAGTTTCATAATGGAGAAGCTCTTTTAGGAGAAATGAATTTTCAGCCTCATCCTTGATTGTTAAAAGAGCAGATCCTATAAAAGAGACAAGTAGCAAATCAACAAGTATTTGTGTTGATGTGTAAACGTAATTTAAAAACGATCTCCTTTACCATTATTTGTGAAGAGCGGGCTTTGGGTATTAAAAATGTCAATTGTAAATAAATGTTTTATTAAAAAATTTGAAGTAAAACCACATTTATTAAAAGATATAAGCTTGTACTTAAGTTAAAGCATAGAATATAAATTTTAGGAAAGATGAAAAATTCAAAATGCAAATGCAGTCAAAAGGCATATTTTCTTGGAGAAGTGCAGCATGCCGAGACATCATCTCAGGTGTTCAAGTCCTATGCTGGACAACAGTTCTATAAATTAATGGTCTCCCAAATAAGCAAATCAAATATTATTTATCTTTCCAATCTCTTTGGTTACTCCTAAAGTCACTAAATAATCAGACAAATGAAGAAACCACATTGTTTACTGAAATGTCAAGGAGGACATGAAAGCTTTTTACCATCACAAAAGAATTACCTTCCTTTTTGCAAAACTCCTGAGCAGCCTCAAAACTCATAGGACTTAGGACGTTAGCAAAATTGTAGCAATTATTTCTAAATTGTATCCAGGGAATAAAACTGTCTGAGCAATCCTCAGAATGTTCAAATGATCTTCTTTCTATAACGAGAAACCAGTTCTGATTTCAGGGAAGTGACTGGGTGCATTTATTGAGATGAACAGGAGATTATATTCTATTAAGGACCAAGATAAAATATGTAATAAGATTCTCATGGTACTATTCTGAAAGATTGGGTTTAATGTAAATGATTACAACACTAGGACTGGTTTATGGCATTTCTGCCACAAAAAATCTTTTCCTAAACACAACAGAGTATACCAATGCATAGTTTCATGGGCTTAGTTTGGGTGCTATGAGTGAGAGTGGCTGTCTTTCATGTTTACAATTAATATCCTAAGGGTCGCAACAACTGGAAGATGCGATTCATAGAAATAGTGGCAGCTGAATGATGTTGAGAAAAGGGATTACAAAATGTACATGTAGTGCTGAGTATCACAGATTAAAAAAATCCTTACTAAGAAATCTATTTGAAAAAAATAATGCATTCAGTAAAATAGCATGATATACGGGCCAGCAGGTGGCATGGTTAAGGCTCTGGATTCTCATATGGCCAACTGCAGTTCCAGACTTGGCTGCTTGAAAATCACTCTGGGCACATGCGCACATGCCCAAAATTCTGAGAGGAGAAGGAAGGAGGATTGTGTTGTGGCCATCCCCCCTGCGGAGTGATTTCTCAATTTGCCTCACTCTGTATCTCTCCATTGAGTGCATGTGCCTATGGCAAAAACCTTTAAAAAATTATAATATAAAATAACATAAAATGAAATTTTATGAAATTATTTAGTGAAATTTGGGGGTGGGGGGACTTTACTTCAGGGCTTATCTGTGCTGAGATCTTGGCTCTGCCACTTACTAGCCATGTGACTGTGGGTTATTCTACACCATGGTTTCTTTTATTGATTTAGTTTTTAGATTAAAAAAAATTCAGGATTTTTTTCTCTTCTTTTTTAGTTATTATTATTAGTTCTTATTGCGAGAGGGTGTATGCACTCACCAAAGCAAGAGAGGGAAGTCATGGTGCAATCCCTTCTCCTCCTGTTTGTCTGTCTTGTTGGGACCTTGGTCATGCGTGCACATGCACCTGTATGTCCCTTAAGCCACAGGAGCCAGGACTTGAACTGTAGTTGGCCAGGTGGGTTTCAGCTCCCTTAGCCACTAGGCTGCAGTGCTGGTCCTACCTTGGTTTCTTTGTCTCTCAAAAAGAGTTAAGGACAAAGCCTCTCTTACAAATTTAAATGACTTAGTGCCTGATACTTAAGCACTCAGTAACCTCATTGTTATGGAAAGGGGAAGGACAGCTTTTATGGTGTTTCATTAGCTTTTTCAATATTTATACATGACTACCCTTTACATTTTATCCTGAATTGTTTTGATCTAAAGTTACATAATGGGGATACTATTTGATATAGTACTGGGTACTATAAGTACTATTAGTAAGTAAATATGTGCGCTTTAACTAAATGAGGGATTTAAAATGAGATTTAAAGAACTCTAACTGGAATAGCACAGCAACCAAGGGGGAAGAGACATGCCAAGTGAGGTCACTTGGCATCTGCTCCCGGTTGCTGTTGATGGGCAGCTGTGAGAGCCTTGGGAGGCTACTTAATTATCTTACTTTACATTTCATCTTTAGGGCTACCCTTGTAACCTAGTGGTTAAGGGACCTGAACAGCTAATCACAAGTGAATTTCAGCCCCACTCAGTGACTTGAAAAACACTTCCTGTGTGTGTGTGCCTCAGGGCCCCAAATCCTAACTGGATGGAGAAATGGAGGAGAAGGGATTGGGGCATGACCACACCCCACAGAGGGTGCTTTGCCCTTCTTTGTCTCTCTGTTTCTTTCTGCGAGCACACATGCCTTCTGGCAACCAAAAAAAATGTTCCATTTTAAATATAGATTAAATAAAATACTATGCAAAGTGCAAGGCCATATATACATTGGGTTGTCAGGAAAGTCAGGATGCATTTTTGTGTAGAAAAACAGAAAAATATGTCGTGACTTTCCCGACAACCGAATAGTGAATATCTAAACTGAATCAGCTATGGTCATCGTCATTTTCTTCTTCATCATTATGGTTCTAGGACCCCATTAGTTTTCAACTTAAACGTAAAGGCTTCATACATGTTCCTAACCCATGTTTCCAGCCTGATTTTCTATTTCCCCTACCACTAACCAGCAATGGAAGCAAATTTTTGTCACCAGATTCCCCTCCCTCACATGTGCCCAGCCCTGTCTGTCCTCTGCATCTTTGGCTAAGCGTTTTTCCTCAGAGTGCCTCTCGTGTCTCATCCTTGCTGTTCATACCCACTCATGCTTCAAAGCCTGTCTTCACTCTACGTCTTTCTGAAAGTCTTTCGGCTTTTCCCCACGTGGAGATGATGCAGTCGTTTTCATGCTAACTCCTACCACACTTGCTCTCTCTTATATATCATTTGGTAGCCCTGCCTGGCATAAAAGTGATTTGTTTTTGCATCGCTGACCCAACTAGAGGCTTCTCAAGGGCAGAGACATCTTGCTACTCATCCTGCTGTCCCCTGCCTAGCACAGCCCCTGGCACACATAGGCGCACAGGGTGCAGTTGTTGAATTGAATAGAGCTGAACCTACCAGTGGGCACAAGACAAATGGCACCTTGCAGAAATGACTCGCAGGCTGTGGTATGCCAGCGTCCACTTGTGTCAGCAAAAACACAGTTACTGAGAAAAGGCGACTCCTCATCTTTCCAAAAAGTGAAAGGGCCAAATTTGCTGCCATCTAACCAGTCAAAATGAACACCATCCTGTGAAAGAAAATTGAGCCATCATGTGCTGGCCAAGACTGCTGGTGGCATCCCCAAATGCCATCTGAGCACTCCACACCTCCCATATAAATTTATGTTTCTATACCTTTGTTCAGAGGGTCGGTCTAGAACAGCTTGTAAATACGATTGATGAAAAAGAATATACGTTACTAATGATAGCTCTTTGGTTTTTAGGAGTGCTTGGCTCTCTCGCTGTAATTTTCTAGTAAGTAATCAGAGTGAACTTGGACTAGTACCTTGTTCCTTACACTAAAATAAATTTCAGATTGATGAAAGATTCAATAAAATTGAAAAGATAAAAATGCTAAGAAAAACTTGGCTAAATTTTTAATATTCCTGGTGTTGGAAAAATCGTTCTAAATTATATCCAGAGGCCGTAAAGCAAGATTGACTACATAAAGCTAAAACATTTTGTAGTACCAAAGTATAATAAACAATCATAAAATACCATTTTTTCATGTATCTCACTGGAAGGATTAAAATTTTGATGATACCTTGTATTGGCAAGAATGTGGAAAAAACCAGATGTTATCATCTACTGTTATATTGGTGCAAAACTTTGGGAGAGAATTTGGCAGTACTTGTTAAAATTTAAAGTACTCTCAATATTTTCATTTCTGACAATTTATCCTACTTAAACAGGGATATTTCCTGCACATTTTTTTGAGGGGGTTTGTTTTGTTCTGCTTTAAATTTTACTAAAGGGCATATGTGCTTGCTCTGGGGCAGAGAAAGAGAATAAATGAGAAAGCATCCAAGATTGGGAATGGCCATACCTCAATCCCTTTTCTTCTCTCTCTCCTTTTGGGATTTTGGACATGTGTGCATGCCCAGCATGTTTCCCAAACCACCAGGCCTGGGATTCAAGTTGTGCAATTGGCTGTGTGGGATCCAGCCACTTTAACCATCATGCCACCAACTGGTCATGTGCACTGTTTATAATTATGAAAAACCGAGAACCTAAATGTCCATTCACAAGAGAATGGTTTAATAAATTATGGCATATTATATCTCTACATGTTGTTCCAAAGGACATGAGATTTTTACATGCTGACATGGAAAGCTGTAAAAGACACGTTAAATATAAAAACAAGTTTAAGGACTACATGCATAGTATAATCTTGTTTGTGTTTAGAAAATGATATACATAGTTATTCATTACATGTATGTATGTGTATACATGGGAACTTTCTAGATGACATACAAGGAACTGTTTACTGTGGTTAACGTTGGGGAATAGAACTAGGAGCTGGGGAACCAGCAGATGGCATAATGGTTATGTAGCGGACTTCCACATGGCTAACCACGGTTCGAGTCCTGGACCCAGAGGCTTGAAACTCACGCTGGGCACATGTGTATGTGTGCCCAAAATCCCAAGAGAAGAACAGAAGAGAAGGGAAAAGTCACCCCACCCCCCTTAAGGGTGATTTCTTGCTTTCTGTCAAAGTCACCCCACCCCCATTAAGGGGTGATTTCTTGCTTTCTGTCTCTGTCTAACTGGTGAATGTCTGTGCCCTATTGCAAAAATCTTTAAAAAACAACAAACAAACAAACAAACATTAGGAACTGAGATAGAATAGAGTTTACTTTTCACTATTTTTGGTGTGTAATACTTAAAAAAAAAAAACAAAACACAAACCTGCAAGATTCTTACTATCCAAACAACATCCCTAGAGAATGAAACAAACACAAAAAACCTATGTGTTAAATTTCAAGTGCTAGATCGGTCCCATGGCCTACTGGTTGAGGGAGTTGGATTCCACATGGCCAAACACCGTTTAGATTCTGGCCCCAGAAGCTTGGAAAATATGCTAGGCGTGTGTGTGGGTGTGTGCCCCCAATTCCAAAATGATGGAGAAATGGAAGAGAAGAGATTATGGTTCTACCATGTCCCATTGAGGGGTACTTTCTCCCTTTCCTTCTGTCTGACTGTCTATCTCTCTGGAGAGCACATGCACCCTCTTGAAATTTGGAAAAAAAATTCTAAGGGTACTGAATTCATTAATAATATAATTTTTATGCAAGAAGTATGATTTATTTTTTTCCTTGAGGATTCCTTAAATGCAACAAATTGCCCAAAGGCAATGCTGGAGTTTAAGATGTGTTGCAGTACACACATGAGGCAGGACCTGGGAGTCCTTAAAATTTTAGAAATCCTTTTAAAGGCATTAAGTTACCTAAATTAGACAAGTGGGTATTTACCCCCCAAAAAGGTGTTTACTCTTGTTTTGTTGTCACAGACTACTCATAATGTTAGTCAGTGGTTATTGTATAATCCAATTATTTAGAAGTTACATTTACTATTACTTCTGAGAACTACTTTTTTTGGAGCTAATTTCAGTGGCTCACGTCTACCTCCTTAGTAGGTAGACGTGCAACTTAATTTGTAAGGATGACCCAAGGAATTTAGAGCACTTACATCTAGGGTGAGCAACCCAATCCAGTGGGCGTGTCCTAGGAGGCTGAGGACCACAGTGAGGAAGGACTGGTGATACTGGTCTGTTATGCTGGCCAGCTGTGCTCCATGCCTCTGGCAGGCTTCTATTGCTGCATACCAAGTCATATTTGCATTAATAATTTTGTAAGTTCTGTTTCTGTATTCTAAGGTATTAGGGATTGGGTCCACATCAGATGTATTCCCATCGTGTCCAGAAGTATCTAGAACAAGAACAACAAAATCATTCATAGCATCTGGATGAGGAAGGAGGAAGCAAAGCTCAGAATAGAGCCCTGTCACTGATGCATATTGATCAGAATGTTTCTTCTGGAATTATTTCAAAATGAAAACACTACCTGAAAACATAGGTGATGGTGATGCTAAAGAATTAGAAGGTTTTTAAAAAATATGTAAGCATAGATTGGCCCATTTTTAGAAGGCTTCCCATTTCTGATCATCTGTTGTCAAACTGATCACTTTTTACTGGAGTTGATGGTGATCTCCTCACAGTACTGGCTACTAATAAAATGCTGACACATATCATGTAGTCATACACGGCATTGCAAACTTAATTTTGCAAGGGCATATTCTCAGATAAAACACCTGATTACACCTTTGAAACTGTGTGATAATCACTATAACATTTGAAGTTTATGTGTATAAATGCTACAGAGGCCTTTACAAAAACAAGTTAATAAATGCTTAGAAATATGAAGTCTCTTCACAATCTAAATGATGCGTAGCGATTTAATGTATGAATAATAATAAAAAAATAAATTTTAAAAAAGGAAAAAAAGAAATATACCCAGCTCTTGTAAATAGTTACTATTAATATGTCGCTTGTCAAAGTCAAGATTTATAAATTAAAAGATGATTTTTCCACCCACCACTGGTGCTTGAATGTTTAAGAGTGGCTGTGATCATGTGACAACCAAACATATATTTTACATGGGTTCTCTTTAACATGCATATATGTTTTTGGTATTATGTTATATACTGGGGTAGGCTAAGTTTAGAAAAGCCTAAAACCCAAAAACAAGGTTAAATTTCTTCACTATCTGATATAAAGTGACTTGAATTCTTCCCTGTGTACTGATCTCTGGGGTTGGAAAGAGACTGGCAATCCGTGGACAGGCCAGAAGACCTGGAACTTAATTCCATTCCTGGCACTAACCAGCTAAGAAAGCTTGAGCAAATTAACTCCTTTAAATCTCAAAATTTTGGTCAATAGGGGGTTAATAAGGCTTTCCTAGAAGGGTGTGGGTAGAATTAAGAGAGAGTCACAAAGGACACGTACTACTGTACACAGCAGGCACTCAATAAACAATTTTGCTCCCTTTTCCTCCCCTGGTCACACTCCCCTTTATAAGAATGGCAAAGTAGAAAACTGACCTAATGTTTTTCTTTTGTCGAAGGGTGCATTTGCTCATGAGAGACAGAGAGAAAAAGAAAGTGAGAAATCACCCCCCCACAGGGAATGGCCACACCCCAATCCCTTCTCTTCCATTTTCCTTTTAGGGTTTTGAGCACACATGTACACATGCCTGGAGTGTTTTTCAAGCCACTCGGTCTGGAACTTGAACTGCATGATTGACCATGTGGGATCCAGGTACCTCAAATACCATACCATCCACTCGCCCTGGAAAAATGGACTATTAGGAAGCTGTTGCCTCAATATAACAGTAGTTACATATCGTGAAACCATTGAGATGGTAAGGGACTGACATGCAGTTTCTTTTTTAGTTATATATATTTTTTACGTAGAAATATAATAAATATTGGGGCCGGCAGATGGCGTGGTGGTTAAGGATGCTGGACTCCCACATAGTTGACCGCAGTTCGAGTCTGGGACCTGGTGGCTTGCTTTTTCACTTTCCCTCTCTCTCTCTCTCTCTCTGTCCCTCTCTGGTCAAATTACAATAAATAAATACATAAATAAAATAAATACAGCCCAATAAAATAATTCTTTAAACAAATATGATAAATATTTATTGACACACTGAAAACTTAGTTAATTGCTATTAATTCTATCTTTATTATTTAATTTGAAGCTTTAAAGTCATCTTCAGTTCTTCTTGACCTCACAGCACCACTGATCAGTGACTTATTTCCCTTGTGTATTATTTTCTTCTTTTTTTACTTACATATTTAATTTTAAAATTAATTTTGTACTGACTTTTAAGCATGTGCTCCAGAGAACGGAACACTTTACCCACACATAAACATTTACAGGAATGCTAATAGCAGTATTATTCACAATAGCCAAAAAGTGAAACCACCCAAATGTTTATTCACTGATACATGTGACCTTCCATCATCTGCTTTTGTAGCTAGAAGCCTGTTTGGCAGCCTTCGTAGTAGCCAGTTTGCAGTGATTTAAGGATGACTGAGAACCAGAAATGGATCTTTGCTGAAACTGTTTTCCCGAGGATGGGTTGATAGTATCTCTAATGAGCATCTTAGCGACACTGAGAACTGTAATTCCTATTCCAAGTGTGTGTGTGTGTGTGTGTGTGTGTGTAATATACGCACTGGACTGCCCAAACTTCCACACAGCTCCAGATACTAACTATGGTCTTTCAGGTGCTATAGTATGGGGATAGCAAGCATGAGCCATTGTCGTATTTATTTATTTATTTTTATTTATTTTTTACTTTTTAAAAATTTTCTTTATTCTTTAAATCCCCCCTTCCCGAGAATATGTACACTCATCAGATAGAGACAGACAGAAAGGGAGAGGGAGGAACCAGTAGTTAGAGTAATGGCTATGTCGCTGGACTCCCACGTAGTTGACAACGGTTCCCGGGCTGGGCCCG